GCTACCTAACTGAGACATCCCTGTCCCCTCCTGCTTGCACGCAAGTAGGATTGGGATCGGGGTTGCACTGATGGGGAGGCTCCGTGCTGCCTAACTGAGAGATCCCTGCTATGACTGTTTTAGCAAACTCTTCAGCATACCTTTTGGGTGGTTTACACTTTGTGGCCCTTTCAGACCTGCGTACTATACACAAGTCTTCCATGCGAGGGGAGGCCTGGGTAGGCCGGAGGCCTGGGCTTCGTCTTATATACCTGCTGGGATTGACAAGGCATCTGACCCTCACCTGAATCTCATAGCTCTCCCGTAGCTGCCTCTGATTAGTTTTCATTTAACTCTTGGGGAAAATAATTAGCATCACATGTCATGTGCATGGAAGTTGCTGAACCAATGAACCAACTAGAAGGATTACTGTTAATAGCACCAGTTTTCCTATAACTTGATATTGCTGGATAGTTTTGATGAACTGCAAAAGCATTTTTAGTTTGCTTTCTGTTGCCACCCTTGAACTTTTCTCTATTAGTGCCACTTTGTTTTGTATGATTTCTTGCAAATGAAGGAAAAGAACTTTTCTGCTTGTATATGTTGATAGTATAATTTTGGTTACTGAGGACAAACAAGATTGTACAAAAACAAGATTGGGTGCAGGCCTGGCCAGGACATAGGTACCCTGACTGTGACAAAGGTGACCTGTGTGCTTGCTTGCTTGATTAACAGCTGTTGGGAACTTCAGGGTCCCTGCTCTCCCTTCTTATGGTCTTTGTACTGGACCTGGAGACTCCAACAGAGAGCATTTCATGTCAAGAAGGAGGGCAAGTGGGCACCCTATCAAATGACAGGGCAGGAGCTACACAGAGCAGGGCCTTTTCACTGGTGGTGCCCATTGTATGCCTTGCTCTTCCCAGACCTGCTCTCTTTTGGCCTGTATTTTGGAGCTTTATAATTTAGGAAGACTTTGGAAGAACTGGTTGACAAGTCTTATCAGTCGCTGACGTATGAGCAGATTTTATTTGCTGCTATTCTGGGCTTCTGGTGCAACAGGGTTTACACCAGCGTAATCGTTGGCCATGATGCCAGAAGGGATACAATTTACGAGCTTTCTCCATTATCTGCACAGCAGGGGGTGTTTAGTCAACAGAGCAAAGGCTGAGATGAAGCATTCCCTGCTGGTTACCTGCTTTCAGCAATAAGGGTTACTGTACCCAATTGGTTAGCTGTCAGATTCTAGAGCTCCCCATTGGTGGCTCTTAGGTAATTCACAAAACACAGAGTCCATTCATAAAACACAGTGTTCATTCATAAAGCAGTAACATAAATCTCCATTGCTACATATTGGGTTTGCAATTTTGGGAGAGGGGAGGCTGCCTGCTAGGGAGTGGGCGGGCTGGTGAGGCCCCCTAGATTTAGAGGCCCTAGGCTTCAGCCTACTTAGCCTATACATAAATCTGGCACTGAGTCAAGGCGGCGAAGGCCCCTCTGCCACTGCCATTGCTGTAGCATCAACGTCCCGAACGTGTACTGTAGTATTTATTTATTTATTTGTTTGTTTAGCCACCCCCCCCGGCTGACCAGGTTGGTTGACCCAAGGAGTGACACAGCTGGGGACTCCCGCACAGAGGGGAGAGCTCATGACGAGCCCGCAAAAAGGAAATGGCTTTGGTGGGCAGGCCCTCGGGGGCCGCAGGAGATTGCTTTTTCAAAATTGCCTGGGGGGCCATTTGAAACCAGCCTGGGGCTGGACTTTGGTCACACCTGCTTAAGCATACCTCACCCCACCCCACTTTTGTTTTGGTAAGCTAAGTGATCTCCTTTTGAAGAATTCAGCAGTAGAGATTTCCTGCTTAAACCTCATAACCATACACACCACAGGACTTCCATGGAAACCAAAAGTCTGAAGACTACCAGAGGGAAATGAATATCTGTATGTATTTATTATTCAGTTGGTTCGCTGTTGTACCTTAAAAACAATTAGAAAAGATGTAGAAAGAACAGAAGTAAGAATGAGGGGAGAGATGCAACTGCTATCAAAAAAAGCATCTATGCATCTAGTTCTTATAATATCTAATGCAGGGATAGGAGAACCTGTGGTCCTCCAAATGTTTCTGGACTACAACTCCCATCATCCTTGTCCACTGGCCATGCTGGTTGGGGGTGATGGGAATTGCTTTTCCTTAAACAGCTTCTCTACAGAAGCATAAGTAATAAATGGCATAAAGAAGTAAATAAGCAAGCCAGGTGCAGGGATGCTCTGCTCAGCTCAATGCATATGACGTGCAATTCTGCCCTCAGAGCATGCTGGGAGTTGCAAACATTCCTGCATACTGTTTGCTAGATGTTCATGTGATCAGCCAAAAACAGGACAAAGGAAGAAAATTGGATAGGCACACTGGGCATCTCCAAAGCATGTGAAGTGTGTTGCTATCAGTGGGAAAGATTTGTGCATATGCTAAAATGTGTCAGTTAAATGGCCATATTGTGTCCTCTTTCAATGAATATTCTGGAGAGAACCTTCAGTACAATTAATTACACTTGCCCTTTCTCTCTTTCATTCTTGAAGATTTGAGTTGACTTTAATTAGTCTCCCTCTGTTTGCTTGTGAGCACTTAAAAATAATAATAATTAAGGGGTTTTTTATAGTCAGGCTTTCCCAAGTTCTCACAGTTCTCCTTACTAACAAAACAGATCAAGTTGCATATCTACCAGGCGAGACAGAGAGTTATTTAGCTGTAGCAGGAAGAGAAGGTAAAGGGACAGAGTTGATATTTGTTTCACTTCTGACACTTTCCCATTGCTTTTGCAATGTAAATAGCCTGTCCTGTTTGCATTACCATTTTAAATACGCCTCTTCAATTTCTTCTTCTCTCCAGCTTAGTTTTTTCCTGATACTGTTCAAAAGACAAAAGTTCTCCAGTCCATCGTCTTAGTTCATTGTTTTGATCCAGTTCAGCAGCGATATTCCTCAGTAATCATTACATTTTGTTTTATTTCCTTTCTTATGAAAAGGGAAAATTAATGTCACACCCCATAGTTTCAGTACTTTGTTCTCTTGTTAGAAGTCCATGAGGAAGTCCTCCTGCACAAATTTTCCTGAAATGTATTTGAGCTGTGTCAGAGTGTCATGTGATTTTGGACAGATCCCATTCATAGGAGTGTCCCAGTAGATCATACTCCATTGCATTAGTGCAGTGAAAATCGTTGTCTGATGAACCATCGAAGAGTCTTATGGTATTTTAAAGGCTAACAAATGTTATGACAGCATAGGCTTTCATAGACTAGTGTCCTCTATGCATATTTTGAATACATTTTGACTCTGATTGAATTGTTACTATCTGCACCTCTTGCATTTCATTGCTCTGACTCCAAAATTTACAACCCTTTACAATAATCTGTATATACCTGCAAATGAGAGTTATAATTCATGTATCTGATGAAGGGAATTGAAACTTGTGAAAGCTTATGCCATAGGAAAATTTGTTAGTCTTTTGAGATGCTAGAATACTTTTGTTGAGCAGGCATTTTCCAATTTTTTTTTTATGAACTACCCTAGTAGGGCAGTAATTGTTCCTTGATAATTTGTCATCCCCCTCCATGATGGCACCCAGGGCGACCCGCCCCCCGCCCCCCGCCCCCCTTCCTACGCCCCTGACAGCACAGGTTTCATAGGATGATGTCATCTATATGTATTCATCGATTGAATATCAGCAGCTCTTTCATAAGTAGGCTACAGTTCTAAGAACCTCACTATGGAACATTTAGAAATAACATTTACTCTTCTACTTTCCTCTCCTTCAGAATAAATGGTATATCCTCCCCAAGGAGGGGATGTATCCAGAATTGCATCCAGAATTGCAGTGAGCTTTGACAAAGAGATGTAACGTGGGAATACTAGCCACAGCTACAGTATGAAAAGAAGTAATGAAAAAATACTTCACTTAGCAAAAGCCAGTGGTATTGAAACCCCAGATTTTTTACGCTTTACTGTGTGACAATCCCACTCCCATTTTAAAAGCACAGTGTAGTCCTAAACTTTATGCAAAAGTTAGATTGCTGTATTTAAAGAACGAACTAGTCTTTTATAACCAGGTGTTTTAAACTTTAAGCCATCCCCCTTTTCTAAAGAGTGAGAGAACATTGTTATGATAACAGCATATTTATCTTTCATCTGTCAGCAATTAGTTTACAAAGCTAATTCTCTGACTGTGAGCCAGGTTGCGAGGGAAAGCCTTTGTTGCAGTGTGTTTTCAGATTGCTGTTAATCCACTCCCACCGATTGATCATTGCCCATATGGACTCTTACCAAAGTGGGATTATCTACAAGGCTGATAGAGGAAGCCAGAGAGATATCTGGTTTATTTCTGGCTTTCTTCAAAGGAAGTACAGAATGAATTAATAGGGTCAGAATCCCCCCCCATATATATTTCTGGGTGTCTCATTGTCTGCTTACCGCTTGAAAAAGAACCATTCATTTTCTAAGTAATTAGCACATACGGACATCAGTCATTTCTGTTTAAACTTTGGTAAAGAAGGCCATACAAGAGGTGACATCATTTTCCTCCATATGTTTCTCAAATGGTCCTCATTAGATTGGGTAGAGAATAGATGGGCTAGAAAGGGATGAGTGGAGTGCCAAATAATGTAGATTGAGAAGCCTGATTTTGAAAACAAAAGTGACACATTTCTACCTTTCTGGATCAACAAAAACCTTTATTGATTATTCTTTTTTTAATGTCAAAGTTCTCATAGTTGGCGATAGTGTCTCTCAACTTGTACAGTTGTAGTGTCTTATTCATCCTTTAGCGTTAATGGCGTTGCATATATTTCAGCCACCATTTTAGTTGATTGTATTATTATGGACCACACTGGTGATATCAGCCATAGTAGGAGTGATGTAACTTTGGCAGCAGGAGTAGACATGAAGATGTATACATAGAATCATAGACTTGTAGAGTTGAAAGGGACCATGAGGGTCATCTAGTCCAATCCCCTGCAATGCAGGAATCTTTTGTCCACCGTGGGTCTTGAACCCACAACCCTGAGATTAACAGACTCATGCTCTACCAACTGAGCTATGCCAGCAATCCATGTCAGTTGGAATGGTTTAGGACCAAACACTGAGGCAATGGCAATCGTGCTACTGAATGAAACATATAAAAGTTGTCTAAGTCTCCATTGATTCTATGGAAATTACCGTTGAATGGTTCTGTGAAAACTCATGCCACTTTTGTTTGAACTGTGTGAAGAATCATAGGTAATACCATTCAACAGAAATGCTGATGCCCTTGGCATCAAGAATGCCGAGAATGGATGACTTTAAAGCTACTATTTCAAATGCAGTGGTATTTTGGTAAACTATTACAGCTTCAGAAAGCAGAAGAAATGTGGAGGGAAGGGGGCAGATTATAAACGCACCAAAAGCAAGGGACAGATAAACAAACAGTTCACTATACAAATGTCAAAGCTCACTAGCTGCTAATCTAGAAAACATCTGTTTATAGCCATGGGTATTCTGATTTCCATAAAGCTGTTTTTACATCTCTGACTTCAATCACCCTTGCCTCACTAAATTAACAGAATAAATAAATAAATGCAGATTCATCAGTGCCGCTCTTATGCTAGTAGGAGGGTCCTATTTAGTGATCTAGGATGGGCCTCTCAATATAGGACAGTATTCTCTAACTCCATAGTTGGCTCTATTGTATTGAATTCTTCCTTTGTATTTACAGCAATCTAACTTACATGACCAGCTAGGAATCCCAGAACAAAAATATTCTCATGCTTCTTCATACAATCATTGAACTGTAAAGTTGGAAGGGACACCAAGGGTCATCTAGTCCAACCCCGACTCTGATACCAGAAGAGGGTGAGGCTGCGGTAGAGGGGGGAATGACTTGAAACAATGGGAGACAGAGCAAAAAGGAAATGGGATCGGCGACGAATAGAAAGCAACAGATAGTTTCACAAAACTGTATGTGTATGTCTATACATGTGTGCATGTATACACGTGCATGTGCACACATGCACAGATATACAGATATATCTCAAATACACCGGAAGTGGTGATTTAATGACATAAATCCTCAGGTGAGCTTAGAAGAGAGTACTCATATTACCACTTACTCTTTGCACAATCAAGCAAAAGAATAGTTTCTATAAAATTTCTTAAAAAAGTAAAACCATTTTGTGAAGTGCGGGTAAGAAATGTTACAAATCAAATCAAATCTGGATAAACTCAGGAATTTTGACTAGGGCAATTTAAAAATAAGATAAGCACAGCAGAAACACTTTTAGGGATGCATTGGAAGGTTGAATAGAGTGTGCTGTTTCATATACTGCAACGCCTGAAAATCATAGAATGGTAGAGTTGAATCTCTCCTAATTTCATGATAAACTTTTTTAAAAAAAGCAAACCCATTGTTTGAATCTATTACAATGGGTCGACTGAGAATTAGAATGAATGCTAGGAGAAATATGAGCCAAATGGGCTTCGTGGTTTGAACTAAAATGGATAAAATGAAATATATATTGGTAAGCATTTCATGTTTATAGAAGCTGCATGTATTATATATGTCCTGCATACTACATCTGTTTCAAGAAAGCCTTTAATCAAAACCATGTGATACAGGAGAAATGATCAGCGAATCGAATTCCCATCCCTGCCTCTGGAGTTCGCAAGTGCATCCCTTGTTCCACCACATTAATATTTATTATGCTTATGGGGAAGCTAAGACACTGGGATCTGTTTGCAATTACCAAATTAAAATGCAATTAACCAGTCACAGAGAACAAACAGTGTTTCCTTTAAAATATTTTAAAGAGGTAGAACTGAGGATGAGTATAAAATTTCCTGGCCTAGGATGTTTTTACTTATGGAAGCTTCCTATGAAATATTGTGAAGGCCGACTTTCCCCCCTTTTTCCTTTTAAAATATCCCTAAGCCAGAAACCCATTTAAACCAAACAATGCTTTTTTTTAAAAAAAAAAAATGCTGGCACAACAAAAAGATTTGTTTAGAACATTATATACCTGGTGGAAACGTCTCTGTAGTTATGTCTGCAAACCTTCTTCTCTGTCAAACAACAGTTACAAGTGTGTATAAATCAGATGCATTCTCCCTTCTCTGAATGGGCTGCTTTTGACAGCATCCGCTTGACAGCTTCCTCCTGGAGGAATAAACACTGAAGGCTTTGTAAGCATCTATTTTCAAGTAGGACCGGCAACGTGGAGTGCTCCTGTTCAGGATATGAGCCAGCCAGCCCAGCCATCTTTCAGCATATTTTATTCCACACACCACTGCTGCATTATGGCACTGAGCATACCCTCCAACATTTCTCCTATGAAAATAGGGACGTCCAATTCAATAACAACAAACAACAACAACAACATTATACCTGACTGGGTGGCTTCCACCATATATAAAAATATAATGAAACATTAAAAATGAAAAAAAAAATCCCTATACAGGGCTGCCTCTAGGGGTCTTTTAAAGGTTTGCTGCCATATGTCTGCAATTTCCTGGACATAGCTGTCAATTTTTTGGGGGGGAGATTTTGCAAAAAAGTTGAACAACTCTTGTGTCTGGATTTTCACTTTTTGAAACATGGCAACCCTAAACTTATCTCCTTGGCTTGGGGGTCGCATAACTCCATACCCTTCAACATTTCTCCAAGGAAAATAGGGACATTCTAAGGAAAAGCAGGACATTCTGGGATCAAATAAAAAACCGGGACGGCTTATTAAATCTGGGATGTCCCTGGAAAATAAGGACACTTGAAGGGTCTGAGTGTTTAGTACAGGACTAATATATTTCCCCTTTCCACTCATAGTTCTTTGGGTCCAAACATTTATAAACTGAACTTTTATGAATTTATTTTTTTTGTGGTGGAATGAAAGTTCTTCCCAGCTGAGTGCCCTTGGTTCCACCAAAAGAGTTATCTTTGTTATCTGCCTGACACAAAAGAGAGGGAATTCTGCACAAGTCTGAATGATTTCCTTATATTCCCAGCTTTGGAATGGAAACTTCCTGCTATGCGGAAAGACTTGGAACAGTTCTGCTTGCATGTCCAGTCCCGAAACAACATCTCTGGTGATCTTTCGTCAATTTATCTTTCTGATGGAATTCACAGCTTTTGGAGTCAATTTAGTCACAGTGGTTGGTATGGTTAGCAGCCAGTTTTACTCCGGAACAGAAGGTTAAGGCTACAAGCCTAAACACTAGGGAGCAAGCCCCATTGAGCACACAGTGGGGCTTACTTCTGTTGCAGTGTAGGTTCTTTGTCTTATTCCAAGCAAGACAGGCATAGCTATAAGTTTTAAACGGGTTCCTTTACTTAAGATAATCATCCATTACATGCTGCAAACAGAAGCAAGCAAGGGAAGGGGAAACTGAAACTCAGCTCACAACCCAGGAAAGCCACCCAGCCCCCTCTCCCAGATACATTAACCCCTTAGCGACATTTTCTTCTCAATGCAGTGAGTGTTAATTCAAGGCTGCTGTCTATTCCAGCAACTTCTGAGTAAACATGTATAGCTTGTGCTGTAACTCTGCTTTCAGTTTTGAAGCAAACTATGTATGATTTAGCACCATGCATTCCTTTACTCACAGTTTTTTTTAAATATTAACCACAACAATTTAATTGACGTCAGTGGGCTCTAAAATTGCTTAATATTTATATATTGTCATGTTGGACATAGTAGGGATGGGAACTCTTCAGAAGTTGTTGAACTCCAACTCCTATCATCTCCAACCAAGCATGGCCACTGTTCAGAAATGACACTAGTCATAGTCAGGCCAGCTGCCATGATCTACACAGTGGAATGGTTGTGGACTCTCCTTCCTTGGAGGTCTTCAAAAAGAGGTTGGAGGGTCATCTGTAATCTATGCTTTCATTTAGGGTTGCCATATCTTGAAGAGCAAAAAAGAGGACAGCCTGAGCCAGGGAAAAGAGGCACGCGGGCGCTGGCATGTAGGGCCACTGCTGCGCCCATGCACCTCTTTTCCTAGCTTGGGCTGGCAGTGGCTGCAGTGTACAGAGCAGCCTATGCCCAAGCTGCCTGCGCCTGCACTTAATGCACTGAGAATGCAAGTAGACTGCAGGCGGAGGCGAGGCTACCACTGATTGTTGGGATCAGGTGTATTATTAGCCCAAATTGTGATTCTGCAATAATTTAGTAGAACGAAATACTCCCTGCTGGCAATGCCTTGGAAACACCTTGTTTGTTTAACACACTGTGCTTTAAATCTTGATTTCCCACTGTCTACTCCCTTTTTGGTCATATTATGTCTGAGACAACAGGAGGGGAAGCCTAGTTCAGTGCCTGTTGGACATGGTCCAATTACTGAACTTGGGGATCTGATTAATGGTTTCCTGAAGGAAAAGCAAAACTCCAGCCCACCAAAAGCTAAGTATTATAGAAGTAGCACTTTAGGATTACACACTGTTTGTTCTTGAGTGTTGCTGAGAATTTTGTTTTCTCTGTCTCTTGGTGTGAAGAAAGCACAAGGGAGAAGTTTGACAGTGGTAGTCTTAATGCTGCAATTTGCTTTGTCCAGGAGCTTTAAAAGACTGCATTGAATATTAGATGCTGCAAGCACTCTTTGGTGAGGCATTGGAAACATGTGGCTTTATATGAACTATAATACTTTCATACTGCAAGGTTAGCCAACATAGTACCCTCCAAATGTTGTTGGACTCCAACTCCCATCATCCCTAATCATTGGCCATGCTAGCTCAGGCTGATAGAAGTTGTTGTCCAACAGCATAAGGTGGACCACAGGTTCCCCATGACTGTCTTAAGCCATTTACTTCATCCAGGAAGCTGTCTTACACTGTATCAGACCATTAGTCTACTTAACTTGCTAGGAATTATCTAAACCAGTAATGAGGATACCTTGGCCCTCCAGTAGCTGTGGTACTCTGCATCCCATCAGCCCTAGCTAGCATGGCTAATGGTCAAAGATGATGGAAGTTGGAGTCCAACAACATCTGGATGGAGACAGGTTCCGCATCCCATCTACACGGACCGTCACCAGCTTTCCAGAGGTCCTTCCCAGTCCTTCCTTGAGATACTAGGTTTGA